GTGCCGGAGCACTTATGGGTTACACCTGTGTGCCGGGGCACTTATGGGTTACACCTGTGTGCCGGGACACTTATGGGTTACACCTGTGTGCCGGGGCACTTATGGGTTACACCTGTGTGCCGGGGCACTTATGGGTTACACCCGTGTGCCGGAGCACTTATGGGTTACACCTGTGTGCCGGAGCACTTATGGGTTACACCTGTGTGCCGGGGCACTTATGGGTTACACCTGTGTGCCGGGGCACTTATGGGTTACACCTGTGTGCCGGGACACTTATGGGTTACACCTGTGTGCCGGGGCACTTATGGGTTACACCTGTGTGCCGGGGCACTTATGGGTTACACCTGTGTGCCGGGGCACTTATGGGTTACACCTGTGTGCCGGGGCACTTATGGGTTACACCTGTGTGCCGGGGCACTTATGGGTTACACCTGTGTGCCGGGGCACTTATGGGTTACACCTGTGTGCCGGGGCACTTATGGGTTACACCTGTGTGCCATAATGTTATTCCGTTGAATGAACCAATAAACCAAACTAGAGATAATGTGATGTTTAAATAAGTGTTGCTGCTTGTATTTAGAAATTACTGGATCAGAGTGCGTGGACTAAAGAACTGCGCCCTGAGCAATGTCTCCCAGACCGCCATCTTGAGATATCAGGGGGCTGGGGATCAGCTGCCACCTGAAACATTGACATGGAACAGTGTAAGTGGAGTCAGTGAATGTTAGTCAAGACCATGTGTCTTCGTGCAGTCAGTGAATGTTAGTAGAGTCGGTGAATGTTAGTGAATTCAGTGAATGTTTGTCGAGCCAGTGAGTCTTTATGGAGTCAGTGAATGTTAGTGCAGTCAGTGAGTCTTCGCGCAGTCAGTGTGTCTTCGTGGAGTCAGTGAATGTTAGTGCAGTCAGTAAGTCTTCAAGGAGTTAGTGAGTCTTCGTGGAGTTAGTGTATGTGAGTGGAGTTAGTGAGTCTTTGTGGAGTCAGTGAGTCTTTGTGGAGAGTGAATGTTAGTGGAGTCAGTGAGTCTTCATGGAGTCAGTGAATGTTAGTGGAGTCAGCGAATGTTACTGGAGTCAGTAAATGTTAGTGGAGTCAGTGAGTCTTCGTGGAGTCAATGAATGTTAGTGCAGACAGTGAGTCTTCGTGGAGTAAGTAAGTATTCGTGGAGTCAGTGAATGCTAGTGGAGTCAGTGAGTTTTCGTGGAGTCAGTGAGTCTTTGTGGAGTCAGGGAATGTTAGTGGAGTCAGTGAGTCTTCACGGGGTCAGTGAATGTTACTGCAGGCAGTAAGTCTTCGTGGAGTCAGGGAATGTTAGTGGAGTCAGTGAGTCTTCATGGGGTCAGTGAATGTTAATGCAGGCAGTGAGTCTTCGTGGAGTCAGTGAATGTTAGTGGAGTCAGTAAATGTTAGTGGAGTCAGTGAATATTAGTGGAGTCATTGAATGTTAGTGGAGTCAGTGAGTCTTAGAGGAGTCAGTGGGTGTTAGTGGAGTCTGTGAATGTTAGTGGAGTCAGTAAGTGTTAGTGGAGTCTGTGAATGTTAGTGGAGTCAGTGAGTGTTAGTGGAGTAAGTGAGAGTTAGTGGAGTCAGTAAGTGTTAGTGGAGTCAGTGAATGTTAGTGGAGTAAGTGAGTCTTCGTAGAGTCAGGGAATGTTAGTGGAGTCAGTGAGTCTTCGTGGAATCAGAGAATGTTAGTAGAGTAAGTGAGTCTTCGTTGAGTCTGTGAATGCTGGTGGAGTCAGTGAATGTTAGTGGAGTCAGTAAATGTTAGTGGAGTCAGTGAATGTTAGTGGAGTCAGTGAATGTTAGTGGAGTCAGTAAATGTTAGTGGAGTCAGTGAATATTAGTGGAGTCATTGAATGTTAGTGGAGTCAGTGAGTCTTAGAGGAGTCAGTGGGTGTTAGTGGAGTCTGTGAATGTTAGTGGAGTCAGTAAGTGTTAGTGGAGTCTGTGAATGTTAGTGGAGTCAGTGAGTGTTAGTGGAGTAAGTGAGAGTTAGTGGAGTCAGTAAGTGTTAGTGGAGTCAGTGAATGTTAGTGGAGTAAGTTAGTCTTCGTGGAGTCAGTGAATGTTAGTGGAGTCAGTGAGTCGTCGTGGAATCAGTGAGTGTTAGTGGAGTCAGTGAATTATAGTGGAGTCAGTGAATGTTAGTGGAGTCAGTGAATGTTAGTGGAGTCAGTGAATATTAGTAGAGTCTGTGAGTCTTCGTGGATTCAGCGAGTGTCAGTGGAGTCAGTGAGTCAGTTGACTGTTTATGATCTACCACACAGCTGACCAGCTATACAGATGATAACACTACCCGACATAATCTATCCCACTTAGAACGTTGACTGTTTATGATCTGCTCCACAGCTGGCCAGCTATACAGATGATAACACTATCCGACATTATCCCACCTTGAACGTTGACTGTTTATGATCTGCTCCACAGCTGGCCAGCTATACAGATGATAACACTACCCAACATAATCTATCCCACTTAGAACGTTGACTGTTTATGATCTGCTCCACAGCTGGCCAGCTATACAGATGATAACACTACCCGACATAATCTATCCCACTTAGAACGTTGACTGTTTATGATCTGCTCCACAGCTGGCCAGCTATACAGATGATAACACTACCCGACATAATCTATCCCACTTAGAACGTTGACTGTTTATTCTTCTTCTTCTTTCGTTCGCATGAAATAAATTGTCTATATCTGCAAAGCCGTCTCTTGTATGAATTTCACTGTCTTTTGTAATTCACTAAGCGGCCCGTAAAGTTTGACTTCCACAAGTGTCTCTTTTGGCCAAATGTTTTGCCTGAAAGCGTTTGACTGTTTATGATCTGCTCCACAGCTGGCCAGCTATACAGATTATAACACTACCCGACATAATCTATCAACTTAGAACGTTGACTGTTTATGATCTGCTCCACAGCTGGCCAGCTATACAGAAACGGAAACCATAGTGGAGCAGCTAGTCTCCCTGTCTGCAGCTGACGACATCGTCCTGGCTAAACCAGACAAAAAAATCTTCCTCCAAGTTGACATGGTCAAGATTGATAACCACCGCGCCTACAGTCCACCCCTCTACACACTAGCATCAAGTGCCTTGTTTGAGTCGCCACAGATCAACGGCATCACCTCGCTGCTACCACCGGCTCCACCTTTAACACAGCTCGATGACCTGCCGCAGGTGAGTGAGTCTGGACGATCCTTCGACGTTAGTGTCATGAGTTTATCAACGATAATTCAACTTATTATCGTTGAGTGAATATGGACGACCATTCGGGGTCAGTGAGATAAGTGAATGGATGATAATTCAACCTATCTTAGGTGAGTGAATGGTGAATCTTCTAAGCTGCCTGAAGTGAGTGAATATACACTAATTCAAGGGGAATAAGATAAGTGATCATTTAACCTGTCTGAAGTGAGTGAGTTAATAGACGATCATTAAACCTGTCTGGAGTCAGTGAATAGACACTAATTCAAGGGGAATAAGATAAGTGATAATTTAACCTGTCTGAAGTGAGTGAGTGAATAGAAACTAATTCAAGGGGAATAAGATAAGTGATCATTTAACCTGTCTGAAGTGAGTGAGTGAATAGACACTAATTCAAGGGGAATAAGATAAGTGATCATTTAACCTGTCTGAAGTGAGTGAGTGAATAGAAACTAATTCAAGGGGAATAAGATAAGTGATCATTTAACCTGTCTGAAGTGAGTGAGTGAATAGACGATCATTAAACCTGTCTGGAGTCAGTGAATAGACGATCATCTAACCTGTCTGGAATCAGTGAACAGACGATCATTTAATCTGTCTGAAGTGAGTGAGTGAATAGACGATCATTAAACCTGTCTTGAGTCAGTAAATAGACGATCATTTAACCTGTCTGGAATCAGTGAATAGACGATCATTTAACCTGTCTCAGGTGAGTGAGTGAATAGACGATCATTTAACCTGATTGAAGGGAGTGAATAGACACTAATTCAAGGGGAATAAGATAAGTGATCATTTAACCTGTCTGAAGTGAGTGAGTGAATAGACGATCATTAAACCTGTCTGGAGTCAGTGAATACACGATCATCTAACTTGTCTGAAATCAGTGAACAGACGATCATTTAATCTGTCTGAAGTGAGTGAGTGAATAGACGATCATTAAACCTGTCTGGAGTCAGTAAATAGACGATCATTTAACCTGTCTGGAATCAGTGAATAGACGATCATTTAACCTGTCTCAGGTGAGTGAGTGAATAGACGATCATTTAACCTGATTGAAGGGAGTGAATAGACAATGATTTAACATGTCTGAAGTCAGTAATTAGACGATTATTTAACCTGATTGAAGGGAGTGAATAGACAATGATTTAACATGGCTGAAGTCAGTAATTAGACGATTATTTAACCTGTTTGAAGTGAGTGAATAGACAATGATTAAACCTGTCTGAAGTGAGTGAATAGACAATGATTTAACATGTCTGAAGTCAGTGAATAAACGATCATATAACCTGTTTGAAGTGAGCGAATAGACAATGATTTAACCTGTATGAAATCAGTGAATAGACGATCATTTAACCTGTCTCAGGTGAGTGAGTGAATAGACGATCATTTAACCTGTTTGAAGTGAGTGAATAGACGATCATTTAACCTGTTTGAAGTGAGTGAATAGACAATGATTTAACCTGTCTGAAATCAGTGAATAGACGATCTTTTAACCTGTCTGTAGTGAGTGAATAGACGATCATTTAATCTTTAATGATCATTTAATGATTAAACCTGTCTGGAGTGAGTGAATAGACAATGATTAAACCTGTCTGGAGTGAGGTGAATAGACAATTATTTAACCTGTCTGAAGTCAGTGAATAGACGATCATTTAGCCTGTTTGAAGTGAGTGAGGATACGATCATCCAAGGTGACTGAGATGAGTGAGTAGACGATCATTCAACATATCTGTGGCGAGTGCAGGGTAGTCCTCAACCTGTGTGATGTCAGTAAGTGAACAGTCATTCAGTCTGTTAGATGGGAATGAATGGATGATCCTTCAGGTTGTGTCAGGTGACTGAATGGAATCTCGTTCAGATTGTCTCAGGTGACTGAATGGATGGTCGTTCAGATGGTCTCAGGTGACTGAATGGACAAACATTCAGACTGTCTCAGGTGACTGAATGGGTGGTCGTTCATATTGTCTCAGGTGACTAAATGGACGGTCGTTCAGCTTTTCTTAGGTGACTGAATAGATGGTCGTTCGAGCTGTATGCGGTGAGTACATCAGTGATTTTTAAATCTGTCTGAGTGAATGGAAGATCATTCAAGCTCATTGAGATGGGTAAATGGTCAATTATTGCAACTCTTCGAGTGTCTGAGCCATATTTCAAAGTGTCTTTATTACCATACAAGTGTGTGTTCGCCTGTAAGCATTGGCACTAGATTATAAAAGCATAGAGACTAACTGTACTGACATTAAACAAAGATATGGTTAATTAACAGAAGATATTTTATAGCGTGAATACGGTTATAGGAATGTTACAGTCATGTCAGTTTCTATTGCAGAAGATATTCTGTAGCGGGGATAATATTATAGTAATGTTACAATCATGTCAATATCTATTGTAGAAGATATTCTGTAGCGAGGATAATATTATAGTAATGTTACAATCATGTCGATGTTGCATTTCACAACGTATGCGATATTCTGTCACAGGCAATGTTACCATTGTAATAATATCTATCTATTGTAGGACATCTTCTGTAACAAGGAAACAGTTCAGCAGGACTGCAAGCAGGACTGGTGTGTCTGTGTACATCGTCACCAGCTGGCGCTGGGTGACCTCGTGGAGCTAGTGATCCTGGACGACGAAGCCTACCACCCCATGCACCTGCACGGACACAAGTACCGACTAGTCGGTTACGGACAAGTAGGCAATTTTAGGTCACTTTCAGACATGATTAAGTCGGCAGTAAGACTTGATTCATAACGTCTTAAAATTAATACCAACAATCTGGATTTTCTCCATTTGTAAATATTAGACATTGCTTTCATACATGATACACTGTTTCTTTGTCTTAGACATTATTTGTACACATCAGACATTGTTCTTATTCATTATAAATTGTTCTCATAGATCAGAAACTATGTGTACATGTTAGACATTGCTTCTATACATTAAACGTGGTTCTGATACACTAGACATTGTTTCTATACATTAGATACTGTTTCTACACGTTAGACATTATTTCTATGCTTTAGACATTGTCAATTTACATTAGACTTGTTTTTGCACATTCAAGATTGTTTCTCTACACTGGATATTGTTTCTCCACATTAGACATTGTTTCCCTACATTAGACATTGTTTCCCTACATAAGACATTGTTTCTGTACACTAAACATTGTTTCTCAACATTAGACACTGTTTCTATACACTAAACATTGTTTCTATTACTAAAAATTGTTTCTCAACATTAGACATTGTTTCTGCACATTAGACATTGTTTATCCTCATTAACCATTTCTTCTGTACATTAGACATACATGGTTTCTATATATTAGACATTGTTTCTAATCAAAATAATGTTTCCCCCCGTTGTAAATTTAAACAAATAAGACACAAACAATAGATTGCACAATTTATTGCCTGGCATATTTCGCTGTATCTCGTCAGGTGCATACTACAGTAAAATTACAAAACTGAAGCAGATAAGTGATTCCTGAATAACTAAAACACAAATTCAACAGCGATCAAACAAAACGATATGAATGACCAAACTACCCTTTACCTTTGAGCAAGGTCATGTGAGTGTTGGAGCAGCAAAATGGCAGACTGTTTGGGGGACAATCGACTGCGGCTTTGGACAAGAGCAAAGAAATTAATGCCGTGTGAGATGCATGTCACAGGAGAAGTTGTTGGCACCTTTCCGTCTTTCCTGACAAAAGTGTTATATTGTGCTATAGAAAGACCTTGAAATCCGAGCTCATGGCGACGGAAAGTGTGATAAGCAACATCTGCTTGGGTTAAGGACAGCCTGCCACACTTAGAGCATGCTGTTTCACGACCACTGCTGCCATCAAATATATTATTACGTATTAGGTGATTCTTCTCAGTCACTCTGCTCTTAACCTACCTGAAATCATTTGATCTAGTATCCCTATTTCGTTTCTTATTTTCTCCCTCTATGCAATACTTTAATGGCGTTTGCCCTTTCGAATACGCCGATATGCGTGTATCATTTATGTCCCACTTGTAAATATCTTTGTATTGTTAGTAAAAGCCGAACGCGACATCTTCTACACATCTATAATTTACCATAGAGGGATTTTAAGGACTCTACCATCCTCCATTCTAGAAGTTTGCAAAAGCCATCTGAGCCTTTAAAGACTGAGTATATAGAACAGTTATCGCAAACAGGGCCAACATGATTAGGACAGCATGTCTCGGCAACCCCAGCTCACTTTGGTAGAGCAGCATGTCTCACTCGGCAACCCCTGCTCACTTTGGTAGAGCAGCATGTCTCACTCGGCAACCCCTGCTCACTTTGGTAGAGCAGCATGTCTCACTCGGCAACCCCTGCTCACTTTGGTAGGGCAACATGTCTCACTCGGCATCCCTGCTCACTTTTATAGGGCAGTATGTCTCAGTCGGCAACCCCTGCTCACTTTGGTAGAGCAGCATGACTCACTCGGCAACCCCTGCTCACTTTGGTAGGGCCGCCACGTAGAGCTGCCAGAAATGCACATTTCCCCTTGGTGAAACAGCACTACACGGGCGCCAGCAGTCTTTTTATTCTTATGAAGTTGCTGAGGCAGAAAGCAGCGCACGTGTTGCTTTTTACCGAATACCCTCACAAATCACTGATTACACACAAGTTTCTTTATTCCAATTAACGTGTGAGTTGATTTTCTATTTGCAGCTAGAAGAGGGTACAGACCTGGACGAGTTGCAAAGACTGGACTCTCAGGGTCAGTTAAACAGATCTACCGCCAGAGCTCCAATCAAAGACACAGTTGCGGCCCCTGTTAGTGGATACACGATTCTTCGGTTTCGAGCTGACAATCCCGGTAAGTGGCTCACGGAGCCCTAACCTTAGCCATGTATTTATTTGTGATGGTTCTGATGTGGAAATCGTTGTCTTGTCTATAACTGCTCTGATAGTGCAATCGTTGTCTTGTCTTGTCTATAACTGCTCTGATAGTGAATTCGTTGTCTTGTCTATAACTGCTCTGATAGTGCAATCGTTGTCTTGTCTATAACTGCTCTGATAGTGAAATCGTTGTCTTGTCTTGTCTATAACTGCTCTGATAGTGAATTCGTTGTCTTGTCTATAACTGCTCTGATAGTGCAATCGTTGTCTTGTCTATAACTGCTCTGATAGTGAAATCGTTGTCTTGTCTATAACTGCTCTGATAGTGAATTCGTTGTCTTGTCTTGTCTATAATTGCTCTGATAGTGCAATGGTTGTCTTGTCTTGTCTAAAACTGCTCTGATAGTGAAATCGTTGTTTTGTCTACAACTGCTCTGATAGTGAAATCGTTGTCTTGTCTTGTCTATAACTAAAATGATAGTGAAATCGTTGTCTTGTCTTGTCTATAACTGCTCGGATAGTGAAATCGTTGTCTTGTCTTGTCTATAACTAATATGATAGTGAAATCGTTGTCTTGTCTTGTCTATAACTGCTCTGATAGTGAAGTCGTTGTCTTGTCTATAAGTGCTCTGATAGTGAAATCGTTGTCTTCTCTATAACTGCTCTGATGGTGAAATCGTTGTCTTGTCTTGTCTATAACTGCTCTGATAGTGAAATCGTTGTCTTGTCTTGTCTATAACTGCTCTGATAGTGAAATATGTGTCCTGTCTTGTCTATATCTGCTCTGATAGTGAAATCGTTGTCTTGCACTGTCTATAACTGCTCTGAGAGCGAAATCTTGTCCATATCTGCATACAGTTGAGTCCATATTTGTATACAGTTTGGTCCATATTTGCAGACAGTTGAGCCCATATTTGCAGACAGTTAAGTCCATATTTGTATACAGTTGAGTTCATATTTGCAGACAGCTGAGTCCTTATGTGCATACAGTCGAGTCCCTAACCTCTGGCTTTTTTTGTTGATGTTCACCTTAGAATTTCTTTTTATGCGTGGACATTCTTGCTTCTTCGGTCCATTTGTGCAATTGTCCTGTGGTGTTCTTCGGACAGCAGGATTGTTAGAGCTGATGTTCCCAGGCTCGATATAAATAGCAGGGACATCAAAAGAGACAGCAAACTGCGGTATCTTGGAATCACCTTTGACAGAAGTTTGTCTTTCGAGGATCACAAAGAGAAGGTTGTGATAAAAGCTCAAAAAGGTCTAAATGCACCAAAGATTATGGCAGTGATTGACTTGGAGCAGAGAATGATGTTCACACTTTACCAGCACTTGATCATCTCAGTGATTGGTTAGGGATTGGGGTTACTGTCTCGAAGAGTCAGCTAGAGAAACTGGAGCGCATACCGAATGAAGCTATGCGGGTGAACCTGGGTTGTACAAGCGACACCCCGATTGTGTGCATGCGATACATCCTTGCATTGCTAACTATTGCAGATAGGCTTAAGGTGCCGCAGGCTAAGTCATACCTCAGAGTAGCTGCAGACAAAGAACACCCCCTGTGTGAAGCTTTGGCTGCAGGTAAGGGTCGGATATAAAGCTTTGACTGCAGGTAAGGGTCAGATGCTGAAAAAAAAAAGGAAAATCGTGGATGGCTCAAGCAGAAGACACATTAGGACAAGTATGCATGCTGGAGAACATTGTGTGAGGGGAGGAGTGGGTCAGAGTATCAGAGGAAAGGTCTGACCTGTGTAGGGTTTTAATCACATTGAGCCGGGAGTAAAGAGAGTGCCCAGCGGGTGCTATGGAGGTGGAAGCCCAACAGTTTATTCAAGAAAATTCACGCCCAAGTGATCTGATTATCTATACAGATGGTTCGGTGCTGAGAGAAAAGACAAGTGACTGGCTTTTCGTAGCGAAAGCCAATGGAAAATCTTTAGTGCAATACAGCATAGCATACGACACCACAACATCTAGCATGAGAATGGAGGTGGAGGCGGTAACTGCAGCTCTCCGGTGGCTAGAGAACAAAATGCATACACATGTCGTAATTGTAACAGACTGAAAGCTGCTGAGAAAGGTGAAGACAGGGATACTTCAAGCAAGTGGCAAACTTCACTGGGAAGGTCACGGGTAGTGAGCATACTTTGGATCTTTTCTTCAGATATTTCGGCGTGGTGGGTAATGAACGGGAAGACAGATTAGCTGGATCTATACCACTGGGTAGTGAAGTAATACATGACAATGCAGATGTGGTCAGAGCCCTTTGGGAACAAGCAACGGAATCAGGGGAGAAACAAGATTATTATAGCCTGGTGAGAATGTGGCACACAGGTGTAACCAGAGGATCTGACCGGCTCATTATACTCAAAGGTAAAACTGACATATAACCGGATTGTTACTGGTACCATCAGTAATTGGAACTCTGGCCGCTAAAGATGAGGACGGAGCACGCGTAGGAATATCGCGAGTGCTGTGATGTCAATTCTTGACTCAACTCACCTCAACTCAACTCATCTCAACTCAACGTTCCACTTGTGTCCCATTTTCGTGTCGGTTTTCTGCTTCTGTGTCTGCTTCATCTCAGAATGTGCTTAGTCAAGGTTTTTGCTTATTTTTCTTCTACGATTTCGTTCGATATTTGAAGAAACCACGTTCTGCTGCCTTGCATAAAGCTTTTAATTGCTTGAAAGCACTGGTTATAATTGTGGCACCACATCTTACTGTGATTTCTTCAAGTAATTCTTCTTTTTCTTCTTCTTCACTTCATATTTGGTATCTCCCGGTGTCGATAAAGCGATATGGTTCTTTCTCCTGCTCTTCTGCAGCCTCAGCCATAGACACACTGTTTGTGCTAGAGTTACTTTGATGTTATCTTTCCAATTTGTTCTTGATATACTTGCTGCTGTAGGTTTCCCTTCTCCTACGATTTATACCATGTATGGTGGATGTTTTAGTTCATGTATTTTAAGTATATGGTCACTACTTTATATAATTTTACTTCCTAAGGTATAAAAAAAAAAGATCTTAGTTGCACCACAGCCCTGCCAGGTCAACAATCTCATATGTTGCTGTAGAGTTGCATACACATCAGAGACTGAGTACGTCGACAGGACTGGGATGTGAGACAGGTGGTCAGCGCTACTGCCTGGTCTCGAGGCATAGCCTCCGCCTCGAGTGCAGCAGGTCCCGGGTTCAGGCCCCGGTTAAAGCTGGGAATTTTTCACCTTTACTGAGTAATTTCTCCTGGTCTCTGGGTAGTGAGATCTGACGCCCGTCTGTTTTTCTGTACACGTAAAAAAGTCCCATGACAGTTAGAAATCAAAAAGAGTAGCCTAACGGTGATCCTCGCACAAAATGTGGAGTTAAATATTTACAGAAAGTATTTTACGATCCACGCCGGTGCTACTGAGTTCGTGCACTGTACTGAAATGTTTGCGGACTCAGACTTGAGTTAAAAGTAGAAAGGAACATTTATGGGTTACTGCCCTTGTGCCATCATGTTGATCCGTTGTTGAAACTTCAAAACCTTATGTTTGGCAGACGTGACAATCGACAGAGCTGAAAATAAACTGATTAACAGTTGAGAAACCTGACTATCTTCAGACCTGACAATCGACACACTTGACAACAGGCAGACCTGACAATCGACACACCTCACAATGGGCAGACCTGAAAATCGACAGACCTGACAAATGAAAACTTGACAATCGACAGACCTGACAATCGACAGACTTGACAATCGACAGACCTGACAATCGACAGACTTGACAATCGACAGACCTGACAAATGACAGTCAACAAATCTGTAGAATCATCGAGCCTCATTAAAAAAAAAAAAAACGAAAAGGACAGACTTATACAATCAGTGTGCCCTGACAATAGACAGACTTATACAATCAGTGTGCCCTGACAATAGACAGACTTATTTAATAAGTGAGCCGTGACAATAGACAGACCTAGCAATCGACTGACATGGCATAACAATGGAATGTTCATGAAGACAGGAGCTGAGACCCTCAGTAACGTGTGACAATTGGTTCACTAAAATGCATTTGTTGTTCTGTCTCATGTAACTACCGGCTTGTTGCTGATCTACAAACGTTTTCTTTGAGCAGGATTCTGGCTCTTCCATTGCCATCTGGAATTTCATGTTGAGACCGGAATGATGATGATCTTTCAAGTTGGCAACTCCACGCAGCTGCCTCGACGGCCAAAAAACTTCCCCAAGTGCGGCAGCTGGGACTTCCAAGGCTACGAAGATGCCACCTCAAGTGGTGCTGCTGTAGACAATACCTGTAAGTGTAACGTCACTTGCAACCTCATCAGCGGCATGGCCAGGAGCATTGCATCTCGGGATACGTGTGGTCTGAAAACTGTGTTGGTTCTTGCATTCACACTTGCATGTCAGCTGACTCTGTGGTCTGGATATTGGTAGCTTTTCGTTGCTCTTAGTTACACAACAAGCTATGTGTACACATACACACACACATATATACACAGACTCACACATACACACACACACGCTCAAACACGCACACTCATACACAGACGCACACACACAAACTTGTACTTCGTTTTTTTTTTTTTTTTTTTTGGGGGGGGGGGGGGGGGGGGGGGTTTACTTATATACCCAAGATGCATACTACCAATTTATTCATATCTGGTTATTTATAATTTATTGTCTGTCTGAGCCGCTCATCAGTCTATGCTTATGTGTGTGTGTGTGAGTGTGTGTGTGTGAGGTGTGAGAGAGAGAAAGATGGAGAGAGAGAGAGAGAGAGAGAGAGAGAGAGAGAGAGAGAGAGAGAGAGAGAGAGAGAGAGAAAGAGAGAGAGAAAGAGAGAGAGAGAGATTAGTAAGCAATGTAGACGAATAATTATGTAGTAACAGCAGGAACTAACATATTCTGGAGGCGACGGGCAATCGAACAAACTGTGGTATGTAGTTGGCTGATGGATAGTCTACAGGGTAGAGCAAACCACACGACTAGCAGTCGGTCATCGTGCCTGTGGTATGTAGTTGGCTGATGGATAGTCTACAGGGTAGAGTAAACCTCACGACCAGAAGTCGGTCATCATGCCTGTGATATCAACAAGAACAAGTTGAGGCAATTTGCAGCTTTAGTCCATCAGAAGTTGAGCTTAAAGGACACGTGGGGGCACCAGCTAAGGCAACTAGTAGACTATTAGGGGGGCCGGCGGGGGTGGGTTGAGAGGGCATCAGTTGAGGCATCTGGGGACTAATGTGGCATGAGTGGATACCACTGGTGCGCCAACATTGCAGGGAATCATCTGGATATTCTGCTTGTGACCTGCAGGGGTGCGAGGGAATGATAGGGCGGATTTTCTGGCTACAAAAGCAAAAAAGACAAGAACACTGGTACTAGACAAGGGAGATATTCTGCACACCATATATGAAGGACTGTCGATAGAAGACACGAGTTTAGATTAGATAACATACGCAAGAATGTATCCTATGATGTCGATTGGTAAATTAGTAATCAGTAATTAGGAACTTGGGTTTACAAGAGTCAGCTAGGGTCCAGGGCTGGTGCCTCCATGAGTTAGCTGGGGGCCTGGGGCAGTGTCATGTGCTTATATGGGGGTGACAGCACACGGACATATAACCAAGTGTGTAGGGTATGACTTGCGCTCGAACTCCAGACTGCTGTACACAACACACGAGCATACTGTCAGGAAAACTTAACAAAGGTTGTAAGTCATACATTTATTCACAAGAACAGTCGGGTCTACCAAACTGCACACAATCAATGATTGTGAAGCAACATGACACATGTCCTTACGTTGGCTAACATGGAATTACCCTCATTCATTAAGCTGCATACTCGCCAAAACAGTTCTAGATGTGATCCATGACACAGCTTACAACTTGTTGTTGATCAGACTGCGTCGCTTTGGGAACCAAGATGGGACCAAGCTATATCTGCCTCTTCATGGGGCACCTCGAGCACCAGATACGTCATGCATGTACCGGTAGACTCCCCGAGCTCTACAGGAGGTATATCGATGGTTGTATCGGTATCACCGATATGCCCCTACATGAACTGCAGAACTTCATTCATCAGTTCTGCTAAACATTACAGATGTCTTCCTTAGTCCTCATGGAAAGCTATCCCAGTAAATGCCCCTTCAGAATGGTACACTTTAACAATAGTTCATGCTATAGATGTTGCACTTTACCTGCGACTCACATTTCAGTTTGGGGTGAAAAAGCCATGCGATATAATATTCAAAATGAGACAAGCCGCAAAGATCACCCTTCTGCAATGGCACGCAATCTTCTAAAATCTGGACACGTGCTAATTAGGGACAATGCATTTCAAATCCTTCATACGTCAACCAGTGGCAGAACGCTAAGATTTCTGGAAGCTTCCGGGATTCGTCACTAGCGCCCAAAACTCTGTATACAGAAAGAGATGGTTCTGTCTTTACGGCTGCCCTGGTAAAAAAAAAAGCAGTCATGTTTGATCGTTGTTGAAATTGTACTACAGTTATAAAGGATTCACTTATTTGCTTCAATTATGTAATTGTTACTGTAGCATGAACCTGACGAGATACAGCGAAATATGCCAGGCAATAAATAGTGCAATCTATTGTTTGTTTCTTCTTTGTTCAGATTTACAAGGGAGAAACATTGCTTTCATTTTTTTTTATGCCATATTTAGCAACACAGTTTTGTAGTTCGCTCTTGAAGTTCTGCGTCTGAACCAGCCAAGAGATCAATGTCGACCGAGAAACGTAAATGACACACAGTGGTCTTCCACCAATGGATATAGATGTTAATGACACATATTGGTCTTCCACCAATGTATATAGATGTTAATGACACACTGTGGTCTTCCACCAATGGATATAGATGTTAATGACACACTGTGGTCTTCCACCAATGGATATAGATGTTAATGACACACTGTGGTCTTCCACCAATGGATATAGATGTTAATGACACACTGTGGTCTTCCACCAATGGATATAGATGTTAATGACACATAGTGGTCTTCCACCAATGGATATAGATGTTAATGACACATAGTGGTCTTCCACCAATGGATATAGATGTTAATGACACATAGTGGTCTTCCACCAATGGATATAGATGTTAATGACACATAGTGGTCTTCCACCAATGGATATAGATGTTAATGACACACTGTGGTCTTCCACCAATGGATATAGATGTTAATGACACATAGTGGTCTTCCACCAATATATAAATAGATGTTAATGACACATAGTGGTCTTCCACAAATGGATATAGATGTTAATGACACATAGTGGTCTTCCACCAATGGATATAGATGTTAATGACACACAGTGGTCTTCTACCAATGGATATAGATGGTAATGACACATAGTGGTCTTCCACCAATATATATAGATGTTAATGACACATAGTGGTCTTCCACCAATATATATAGATGTTAATGACACACAGTGGTCTTCCACCAATGGATGTAGATGTTAATGACACATAGTGGTCTTCCACCAATATATAAATAGATGTTAATGACACATAGTGGTCTTCCACCAATGGATATAGATGTTAATGACACATAGTGGTCTTCCACCAATGAATATAGATGTTAATGACACATAGTGGTCTTCCACCAATATATATAGATGTTAATGACACATAGTGGTCTTCCACCAATGGATATAGATGTTAATGACACATAGTGGTCTTCCACCAATGGATATAGATGTTAATGACACATAGTGGTCTTCCACCAATGAATATAGATGTTAATGACACATAGTGGTCTTCCACCAATATATATAGATGTTAATGACACATAGTGGTCTTCCACCAATATATATAGATGGTTATGACACACAGTGGTCTTCCACCAATGAATATAGATGTTAATGACACATAGTGGTCTTCCACCAATATATATAGATATTAATGACACACAGTGGTCTTCCACCAATGGATATAGATGTTAATGACACACAGTGGTCTTCCACCAATGGATATAGATGTTAATGACACATAGTGATCTTCCATCAATATATAGATGTTAATGACACATAGTGGTCTTCCACCAATATATATAGATGTTAATGACACACAGTGGTCTTCCACCAATGGATATAGATGTTAATGACACACAGTGGTCTTCTACCAATGGATATAGATGTTAATGACACACAGTGGTCTTCCACCAATGGATATAGTTTTTTCATGACGTTCTTATATTGATCTCATCATGTAGTACAAGTAGAAGTTCAAAAGCATCGGGGATAGTTTTCAATCCAGCCTCATTCACACATCAGTTTTGAAAAAAAAAAATGTGCCTATGTTATTTTGTATGGGCACTGGACTGCTTATGTTTTGCTGGAGTGCTTCAATGGTAACGACCTTAGGCTGATCAAGAACCGATACTGGAAATACCAGATAGAACAATCCATTAATAAATCAGTCAGTATTAAGCACTTAAGAGCTGTTTGTTCAGATTTACAAACTTTTAAACTCCCAAACTCAGCTGTTGTATTTTATCAATAAAGCATGTTATGTTCATGTAACAATATGCATATTATGAATATCAAGTCAAAAACAAAAGTATGGGTGGTAAAATATGTGCGCACGCTTGCGCGCGAACACACTCACGAACCCACATCAACACGTAAAACCATTTTCACACACACAAAGGCACCCAATACACACATACATGCACATCCAATTATACACACACCTGCACACACACACATGCACACACATACATGCACACACACACCTGCACACACATACATGCACACACACACATGCACACACATACATGCACACACACACATGCACACACATACATGCACACACACACATGCACACACATACATGCACACACACACATGCACACACATACATGCACACACATACATGCACACACATACATGCACACACATACCTGCACACACATACATGCACACACACACATGCACACACACACATGCACACACATACCTGCACACACATACATGCACACACACACACAAACATGCACACACATACATGCACACACACACACAAACATGCACACACATACATGCACACACACACACAAACATGCACACACATACATGCACATCCAATTATACACACACCTGCACACACATACATGCACATCCAATTATACACACACCTGCACACACATACATGCACACACATACATGCACACACATACATGCACACACACACTCATACACACAGTCACATATACAGACAGACTCTCGCAAACACAAACTCTAAGACACACACGCACACAACCCAGACACATACAGTGACACAGCTATACAGACACAAACACATACATACACACACGTAGTCGCACAAAAAGACACATACAAACACGTACACCGTCTCGCACAGACCCAAATCCACACAGACACACACACGCAGTCACAGGCACACACATAC